GTAGGTGTTTCTCTGCAGTGGAAAGGAAGAGAGAAAGGCTTTGAATCTGGAAGTCTCTTTGTTCTGCCCTACTTCCCTTACCAGCTGCCCTTAACACCTACACCAACACTCCTATTTGTCTACCCCACATACCTGCGGGGAGTGCCCTCACTTGGCAGGTGAGAAGCTCCCGGCCTCAGAGATGGATTGCACAAGGTCTGACAGTAACTCGGCACCAAAACTGGGATTTACTGTGTGTGTTCCTGCTCACCCAGTCTCATGCCTGGTGTATTGCACAGGCGTAACACGGTGTGTGCTCTCTGTATTTATTGACTGCGGCGTGTGGTGCGAAGGTTAAGGCTGAAGGCTGGACCCACAAAGGCATTTCAAGGCTGGGAGGGATGGTCATGTCTCTAAGTCCATAATCAGGCTCTTTAACACCTCCTTGCAACTGTCAGCTAAAACGCTGGTTTCCGTACAGACCTGCACTTCCAGAACTGAAGTTCCCTGTTAGATCCAGGCTTTGTACAAAACACTGTCCCTTTGGATTCCCTGGGGGAAAAACTGTGGAGGAAAAAAGCAGCAAGCAGCAAAGGTGTTGTCATGATGGAAATGGAAATAAGGGGGAAGTGGACAAGGGGTAAATCCCAGCTCAGTGGGGACACCCCTTGCTCCTCATGGTGGATTGGATTTGCTTTTGACAGATGTCTGTGTGGGGCTTCTTACTGGCAATCCAGCCAAATTGTGCTCTCCTCATCAATAAAAATCCCCATGAATGTAACTGGCTCTACAGAGAAGAAAATGTTAACAAACAGAATAAGCAAACTGGAAAAAAAAAAAAAAAAAAAACATACTCTGAGTTATTGATGGCAAGATATGTTTCCAGCAAAAATAAAAAAAGAAATCCCACTTTTTGGCAGAAGTGATTTCACAATGTATCGTGTACCATTAACTCATTAGGTCTACATCTGCTATGTCAACTTTGCGTGTTGCCACAGGCACTGCCAACGAGCCAAAGGTTTTTGGCATCAGTTTGGGGCAGCTCCAGGTAGATAAACTATACTTAGTTATTTTATGTATGTACAGGTGTCTGCTCTAGTTCCTGCTCCCCTGCTTCCCCCTCCACCCCCATGTTCAGTGTGTGTATGGGCAGACCTGCCAGAGAAGCCAAGTCCCTTTTAGGCCACAGAGCACGAACCCTTTTTCTGGGGAGGAATACCTGCCAAATGTTGCTGAGCTGGGCTGTCAGGCTGGGTTGGTAGAAATCTTCCCTTTCTCTGCGTGTCCCCGGCCTGGCTTAGCAAACTGCTGAAGTAGCAAGTCCATGCGTTCTGGAGCCAGAGTCGATCTTTGCACGGAAATTAAGTGAGCGTCTCAAATACCGCACCCAGTGTCGCTTGTGGAAGTGCACAGCACCCGGCAGCGGCATTGCTGGGGGCTGGACGCAGCTGCACGGCTGCAGACCCCTCCCTGCGCTCCCCATCTCCTCCAGACCACCCCACCAATTATTTGCTCTGCTAGCAAACCGTGTCTTCAAGAAACAAAATGAGGCACAGCGCCATGAGAAAGGTGACAGGAAACAAATCCTGTTTTCTTTGTTATCTGAAGGTTCGTGGTTTCAGAGGAATGCCTCGGTTACATTGGAAAGTGCAGCTCCTCTGTAGAAAGTTTTTGTACGCGCCAGCTGGCTCACTAATCAGGTTTTTCCTCAGATTCCCTATATGGAAGGTGGGGATAAACCTTTGCTTGAAAGGATGTATTATCTTGGGAGTAGTATTGGGAAGTGACTAGTGTTAGTGTGGGGCTGCTACCATTGACAAGGCCAAATAAATAGCGGTTATAAAGTGAAATCCATTAATCTTTGTTCATAATGGAACTAATGTACCACCTAAAGCAGTTTTCAGCATCTCACCCAATCCTGGTTATGTCACGATGAGCTACACACCCTTTCAATTTCTTTATGCTTATTATCATTTTTCCAGTCTAAATACTGGCTCAGAAACATCTAATAAGATTCATAAAATACACATATTCTGAAAAAATAGGTGATTTATCTTTATTTTCTTTAAGACACCTCAATCTTAATTCAGGATGTTAGTCCTTAAACAATGAATAGTTGTTATCAGCTATTCCATATTACGGATTCTCCTTGCCAGCTTCTCTGACACAATTGTGTTCTTCCTACCTACAAGACACAAGGAAACAATCTTACCAACTTCCCTACAACCTTGAACTGAGCAGTATTTTGTGGCATTTAACTAATGACAGAGTAAGATACCCATCAATTAAAAGTTCCACCCGTACAGCCAAACAGTTGGTGCTAGGGTATGGTCTTGGAATAACGTGTCATTTTAACCTGCCCGGTTTACAGGACGCACATGCTGTACTTTCTAATCACCAACTGTGGTTTATACTCAATTATTCAAAGTTGTATTGCCCGAGTTTTCTATTATACCTTGAAAATGCACTTCTGTGGGTTCAGAGCTTTGTATGAGAAAGCAGAATTGCATCTTCATATTCGTTCACTGAACATTTAACAGCCCTGCTGTGCTCCGAGCTCTCCTAGAAAGCGAGCCTTACTAGGAAACTCAAATCCTCTGAGAACAGTTTCTGTCCCACCACCGAGTACAGCCACAAAATAGCCCCGCAGAGGTCAGCCTTGGTGCATCGGCTTACTAAATGAAAGCAGAATCCAATCCACCTCAGAAGTAGCTTTGAAACAATTGTGTGGGCCTTTATCTCTCTCCATGGGGCAAGTCAAAACATTTGTGCTCTTCAGGGTGAATTCTTTACTAGTATCGTTAGGAGAGTTCAGTAATGTTTTAGTGGTTTGGTTTGGTTTTTTTAAATTTTTGGTTTAAGAGGGCTCTTGAATATTGCAAGATAACATGAGTGGAATCCAGGGTGATCCATCTAGCCTGCTTATCTCAAATTGCTGAGAGAACGAGTGGTTTTTTCTCAATTTCTTCTTCCTGCTTGTACGTCTCTTTCTAGGAAGAAATGTCAAAGCCCTATTCTTTGTTTCCACCAAATGCACAGGGGCATATAAAATGTGCTGGAGTACAAACTGAAATTCACATTTACCACTGTTGTTTATGCAAGAGGAAGAGACCAAATGTTCGGGGAAGAAATCACATCTTTAATTTCATACTTTAACAGCCCAAAAATGGCGGTAGTGTCTCAATTATTTCTGTACATGAATGAGCTATCAGTGATTTCAGCATTCTTTGCTGCATTACAGACTACTTGTTTTGCTGGAGTAACCATAATAGAGAAATGCAACACTGCCTGTGCTGTGCGGCCATACGGATATATATATATCACAGAGCAGTGATATATGACTAGCATCAGCTGTGGCAGTGGAACTTATACAGCAAGATTTGTGTTCCTTACAGGACTGTGTGCTATAAATATAGCTATAACCACATACTTGTTCTTTACCTTAAGAATGTATTCATGAATTTTAACAGTCAAGAGTACGAGTAACTGATAAGAAGGTAGAGCTCCTTTGAGCAGATTGCCCTCATATAAACACAGTTTAAGAAGTCTGGGTTCAGATGTGTCTCTACTTCACAGGTCGAAGCAGCAGCAGCCTTCCTTAGCACCTGAAGTGTTGACTGTAGATATCCCACATTGCAATATATTGCAACGCTTGTTTGATTTGTACCTAAGAAGAAATCAACCAGTTCAGCAGCCGGGTAATTATTACGTGCATGCTGTAGGTGATGCCATCGGAATGATTGCGTAAACCACAGACCAGTGTAACACAGTATCAGTAAACCTCAAAGAATGGTTTTATTCTTCTTTCAGAAATTTATTTTTTTGGCAACGCCTACTAATATTTTTCTGTTTCTGCGTCCTGAGTACATCCAAGTCTTAGTATTGTGCAGTTTCCCTAATCCGTTCTTCTTGTTGGCCTCGTACTCTGGCCATTCCTCTCACGCTAAACTTCTCATCCATTTATTTCACATCTATAGTTCTGTAAGGTGCATGCATGGAACGTACATCGTGGTACACTGATCAGCCTTCTCCCAGCTTTCCCTGTAGTTTGGCAGCACCCACGGCACGCAGGGCAGCTGTCTGCTGCAGACAGACCAAACTGGGTTACAGACACAGAGATTCACAGAAGGGTTTGGGTTGGAAGGGACCTTAAAGACCCCCACCTAGTTCCAACCCCCCTGCCACGGGCAGGGCCCCCTTCCCCCAGCCCAGGGGGCTCCCAGCCCCGTCCAACCCGGCCTGGAACCCTTCCAGGGAGGGGGCAGCCACAGCTGCTCTGGGCACCCTGTGAGCAGCACCGGCTCACGGGAGCCGCAGGACACTCATCGTTAGAAACCAAGGGCCAGTCAGCAAACTTGTGTTTTCTTTTGCGTTTGGCAGCAGCAGGCAGGAGAAACTCCGTCTCCCTGGCTGAAAAGAAGGGCAGGGAGCAGAAGAAAGCTGCCCCCCTCCACCCCAGCGTGTAGTCCGCTTACTCAGTAAGTTTTCCACCGAGCCGCTGACAGGCAACGTGTGGCGGTAGCGTTGCGCAGCGCTCAGTTTAGCTTGCAGCATTGGCTCTCTGCTTTCCCGTGGTCGCAGAAAGATTAAAAAAACAAACAGAAACAAAACAAAAAACAAAAACAAAAACAAAAACAAACAAACAAACAAACAAACAAACAAAAAAAACCAACCAACCAAACAACAACAACAAAAAAAAAAAAAGGCGAAAAACGAGCGGAGAGTTACACCCCTCATTCAAAAGCCGGCGGGGGGGAGAGGGCCGGGACCGGCTCCCAAACCCTCCCCGGCGCGTTGCGGTAGCGCAGCCCGGGCTGAAACGGGCGGGTCAAGGGCGGGTGAGCCCGGCGATAGCCCCCCCGGGCCGATAAGCTCCCCCGGGCCGATAAACTCCCCCGGGGCCGGCGCCCCGCTCCCCTCCCCGCCGGCGGCACCGCCCCGGAGCGGCCGGGGCCGGGCGGGGCCCCCGAGCCGCCCTTAAAGCCCGGCCACCCCCGGCATCTTCCCTCCCTCCCTCCCTCCTTCCCTCCCTCCCCGCCCCAGAGCTCCGGCGGGACCCCGCCGGCGACATGGGTAGGTGATGGGGGCAGCCCCTGGGGCTCGGGAGAGGGGGGGCTGCCGCCTCCGGGTTGGGCACCGGGGTGGGGGGAGCCCCTCTGACACGCGTGGCTGGGCTGGGCTGGGAGCAGCCCGCGGGGAGGTGGCGGCGTGGCCGAGGGGTCCCGAGCCCGGCTCTGGTGCTCGGCGCGGGTCCGAGGACACCTTCGGGTGCCTTGTGCTCCTCTGGCCCATCCCCTGCTGTTGCTTCTTCATCCGTCCTCTTCCTCCGGGGCAGCTCTCCCTACGGCCACGCTTGTCTGAACCTCCCTTGAAACCCCCGTGAAAGGCGAGCGATGTTGTCGCGAGTCTCTGTGAGCTCTTTGAGCTGAACCCCTGGCTGGTAAGGTTTATCTTGAACGTTTAAGGCATGTGGAGTTCAAAAATCCTAGCGCGAGTTAAATGTGGTGTGTCTCACAGCTGTTAATGCTTTTTCACAGAAGTGTTCACCTAGGGTTGACCTAATGAGTGGGGTTTAAATACACAGAAACACTGCTGAGAGATTCAGATAAGGGCAGAGCCCGTTCAGCTAGTTCATCCTGAAGATTTGTTCATGTCTAAACCGAAACATCAGGTAGTGAAGGCACAAACGGTGCTTTTCCGTGGCGTAGCTCTCCATCACCCTTTGCCGGACCCTTGGTCCCGCAGTGTCTGAGCACGCTGGTGTGCCTCTCCTAGCAAGCAGCTCCTGAGCTGGGGAAACCTTGTCTGGCGTAGGGGAAGAACCTGAGGTGCCCCAAAAATGAGAAAGTGCCACTGCACCTTCAGCAGGCAAATCTGTGCTCTGGGGACGGGCACCTGGAGTGGTGAGCAGGCTCGGCAGCGCTGCTGCCCAGAAGGTCTCACGTCTGGTGATGGTGATGGCTCCGGGAAGAAAGAGAAGCCTGATGCAGCTGGGTCTGCTCATGTAACATCAGGCTTGCTGCGTTACAGGTTTGCTTTGGTGGTTTCTGTGTCAGTGTCTTTCTGGAAGAGTGAGGTGTGAAGCAGGGAGTTCCTGGAGTCACTTGTCCTGACGGCAGCAGCATCCTTGCGTGGGTGTTGTAAGGCTGCTCCAAGGAGCAGAGGCAACAGGCTTGGCTGTGCCACGAGCTAGGGGGCAGGAGAGCAGGCTCGCTCTGGAGCCAGGAACATCCTAGGTGACAGCATGGTTGTGTCCAGATTCAGCCTGGCCACGGATGTGAAGTATTTAAAGCAGCTAATGTTGCTGTGGTGGCCGCGCGGAGCAAGGCAACGCGCTCCCCTCTTGTGACACGGACCATGGGCCGCAAGAGCTGCGGAGTCCCACAGCATCCCTGTGACTGCGGGGAACCGTACTGGTGGGAGCTGCTGGGCAAGGGGGCAGAGCCATAAGCCTGCCCCCCACCCTGCCTGCAAGTGTGGGAAGGAGAGAGAGTCACCCACCGATAAATAACTATTTAGATTCAGGGCTCGAGCCAAGAACTGAGCGGCTTCTGTCTTGACATTGCTTAAAAATATTTAATATATCAAGGGAATACAAAGTGCATAACTGTTTAGAGCTTTATTTGGAAAAATTAGAAGCTCTTCAGTATTTTGTGGTGAAAATGAGCAGTTCCGCAGGTCGTTCTTTGTGGGGAGAGAATGAGAGGTGCTGAGGGCTGCCCAAAAGAGGGACAGCTCCAAGTGCCCAAGAGGGACTAGCAAACCCTGGGTTTATCACTGATATTGATGCAAAGTGTTGGGTGCTCTGTGCTCTTGTAGGTCTAACCCAGAAGCTGCCTGACAGTGGAATTTGCCTGACAGTTCAGGTGCCTACATTGAAATGTTGGCTTTAATGCCATCGGGAGTTGCCCGGATGTTGCTGTAAAAGGAGAATAGAGGGGTGAAGTCAAAATGATTGATAAATAAGTGTGCCTCTGAAACACTGAAGTCAGACAGTGTTGTCTGGAAAAAATGCCTCTGCTACGTCCTCTGTAGGGTTTCTTGCAGAAGTGATACTTTTACCTTCTGGAAAGGGAAAAAACCAACCAACTAGAAGTTCCTTGTTTTGTTTTGTTTGTTTTTTTTTTTTTTTTCACTCCCCCCCTAAGGCTTAGCTAGCAGACAGGAGTGAGCTGCTCAAACTGATGTTATGAAAAACTGGCAGTATGATGCATATGTGCTGGAAAGGCCAACAGGTAGAAATAATGAAGAAGTTGTTATGAAGATAGCCTATCAGTAATGCCTTGGTATCCTTCAGTATATCTGCTCACATGAGTTGTGTAAGGGACGTTACCGATACCTGTAGTGACTGAGGTGCCTGTGCCCTGAAGTTGGTGTGTTAGCACTTTTTGGATGCTACTTGTTTTCTAGGAAAATGTATTCTTGAACTACCTGCATAATACTACTTCTGTCTCTATTGAGAAGGTAGTTGTCCATGGCACTGAAGGACAGAATCAGATTGATTTGTTTTAATTATTTTTGAAAGTGAGTTTCTTCAGTATCATGTCAAACACTGAAGTATAGTGTTGCTGTCAGCTGTTTTCATCTGTTGTGAACTATGGACTAAATAATGATCTTGGCAAACATTTTTCTTCTGGAGATCTATTATGGGCACACTTAATTTGCAAGCAGGGATCTCAAAGTTCACATCTTGTACTTGGTCTTATCTTAATGATAATGGACTCGCTCATGTGGTTTTATAGGAAATGCTGACATCCGCTCTGTGGGCACGGCGCCTTTATCTGAAGCTCAGCCTTTGAGCCTGTCCCCTGAGCCAAGCAAAGCCCTGCAGGACACTGCTTGGAGGGCTGACAGGGGTAGCAAGCCTGCCGTGAGCAGCTGGAAGTGACTCAGGGCTGCAAGCAGCTGTCTGCTCTTGCTGACCTCGGTGGGACCCCTCCTGTGCTCCCAGGGCTCCCTAGGTTAATCCCCAGGTTAGGGGAACTGCTAACATGGATCTCTCAATTGGGCCATGTATTCAGCCCTTCTTGAGTCTGAGCTAAGGGAGGTTTGTCCGTTTTCAGGACTTGGCATCCACCCCTGGCATCTTGTGTCTATCTCTTTGTCTTGACTTGCCATTAAGGTGACATCCCTGAGAGTGAATTTGAACAGGATTCATCTTCTGTGGGCAGTAGGGTGGTCTACCAGCACCTTGAATGATGTGTGGGGAGCAGTCATAGTAGGATGGGATGTTTTGTTTTGTCTTGTCAGTCCATCTTGATTTTTTTTTTTCCCTGGAGATGTATGTGAGTATGCATAGCCTGAAAAACAAAAGGCTATCAAGTGAAGTTTCTCCAAATAACCTTCTTGCACCATGAAAAGTCCCCCTTTAACAAACCGAACATTTACTTGTCCTGAACAATACTCTGTGTCTGTTTCACAATTTGTTTTGAGCCGAGCTTTCCCCATATGTTCCAGTGGTTTTAAAGCAACATGGGTTAGTAGTTTCCATTAACTTGCCTTTTTTTCCTTCCACAGCTGCAAAAAGTAGGAGTAAGGGCAAATCGGTAAGTGTTGTTTTCTCTTATGAAAAGTTCCTATACTGACTCTCTTTGGGTTATGTTTGGGTAACTTTAGCAGCGCCTCCACAAAAAAATCATCCTATAAACGTACTTTAAAAGTATAAAACAGAGAGTTATTGGCCAACACATGCTAAGCAGCCTGGTAGCTTATTAAATCCCAGCTAAGTATTAGTGTGCTCACCACCCTGATAAAAATGTGTGGCTGGGAGGAGAAGGGTCCCTGGAGCCCAGCCTTCGTGGGGCTGAGTTGTCATCATCCACTGACTCTCCCTTAGGACTCTTTTACCTCTTGGTGTTCTTCCTCTTGAATCTTTGAACCGTCAATGACACTTGTCTCGGCAACCCTATCTCTGCCTTTGCTTTCCTTATCTTACAAGGTTTTACTCCGCAGACTTTCCCTGCAGCTTTCTCACAGCTTAGAGGCTTTCTCAGCAGCCAAAGTCAAAGCTGCACAGCAGGGTGGTGTCCCCAGGGCAGGGGAAGGGCATGGAGAGGTTTATAAAACGTGACCTTCAGGTTACCTCTTCAGTGGTGGATCCAGTGCTTCCCAGCTGATGAGGATCACAACAGAAAATGTTTCAGTAGATGTGTGTGCGATGTATAGTGCAACAGAGGTTTAAGAGGACAGTATAGTGCAAAGCAAGAACAGTATGGGTCATATATTATCAAGGCATAACTGCATATTCTCTTCTTGCTTGTAGCATCTTAGAAAAACAGAAGGTGGTCTTGGGAAAGACCCTGTAGCTTCCTCCTGCACGCCCCTGTCCATGCTCAGCCCCAGCTGTGACAGGCAGATCCCTACCAGTTCAGGGACAGCCAGTAAAACCCACCAGTGGCTGCTGTGCTGGCACGGGAACGTGGGACATCGCCAGGCCCACAAGCATTAGTGACTTAAAACAGAAGCTCAGCCTTGGTGGAAGCTCAATACCTCCCCAGAGCGGCACGTAGCACCTTCTTGAACAATAAGTTGTGGGGTAGTGTGATGGCGTAACACAGAGGAGGTTTGTGAGAACTTCAAGGAGGTCAAAAAGATTTTAGTGAGTTTTTGTGAATTTCTGGTGGGGATGGATCCTACCAGTCCCTGGGCCCTTTTTCTCTATAGGCAGGTTGGACATGGGGAAGGCTTCGTTCTGCTTCAGATGGGGACATTCTCTCCTCCTCAGCTGGGTTATACCAAATTACACTGGCAGAAACCAGTCGTGCAGTGTGGGTTTCTGTTTTAGGGCCTAGCCTAACAACTGCTGGAATCAAAACCTTTTGGGTGTATCTAAGGGGTGCTGACCCAAACCTTCATGGTGTGGTTCTCCACCTGCCCCCTCAGAAGCATGAATGCTTGCATGGCGTAGGCGGATGGTGCACAGGCAGGGCTGAGTAGTGTTCTTCTGGATGAACTCCAGTCCACCAAAAGCTGTGTCCAACTTGGGGATAGCGATCTAGAGCTCCTGTTACCTTCAGCTGAGGGGGAAAAGGCACCTTCAGGTGAATTTTATCTAATTTTGGGAAACATGTGCATGGTCCTCCTTTGGAGACACCTCCTTGGAGGATGTGGTAAATCAAGAGTGACGAGTTTCTGTTTAGGCTTCTAATTTTGATTGCTCTAAAGCTAGATGAACCCCACCTGGCACGCACCTCAGCTGAAGTCAGATTATTTCGGTGAAGCCTGCTTATCAGACCATGGGTGAGATGTGCACTGTATACTTGGTTCAGCCAATAACAAAGGTCAGTGCTGTTGAGGCTGCTTGGACAGCCTCATGACTGAGTGAGTCTAAGTCAGCAATACTCTCACCACTCTTCCTTATTTTCATTTCTCTCACAGTATTCACAAAAAACCTTATTGTAGCACACAAGTCTCACTGAGTGCTGCTGGGTTGTTCATTAAGGCTCTGGCCAGAGGCTTTGCTGGAGACATGAGCTCTCTGATTTACTCATGTCAGGCAGAATTTTCCCACTTAAGGTTTCTTTCCTTTTGATCTACAAAGTTAACTTTTCTGTTTCACATGGAATACAGATTGGTTTGATTCCTAAACCCTCACAACATGAAGACAACGCATTCCATTCTTTTTCTTGTTCATGCTTCTTAAGTTTCATAACTATTTTACTTCTGGGATGTTCTAAGGCTTATTAAAAATCTGATTTTTGCAACTTGCAGAATTAAACCCATAAAAAGGCAAAAAGGGAGGATTGTGTCTAACTGGCATTCCTAGTAATTTTAATAGAAATGATAACATGTATTCATTGATTAAGAAAAGTAGTTGGTCAGAAGTTAAACTTTCAGTTCTACTGATCGTGCCAGATTTGTACCTGATATATGCTTTTTTCCCTTTGTCTCAATGGTAAGAGTCACGTCGCAAGCTGCACGATGGTGGCCATGGAGATGCTTATTGCAGCAGGTGAAGGCTCAGTGAATTTGGCAGTTAGTGCCATGACATTTTAGGTTAGGAGTAAAGTCAGTTCTATTGGCAAGTCTGAAGAAGTGAAAGATTCTTCATCAAGCAGAGTATTTGTAAGGATGAGGAGTTTTCCTGAGAGAATTGAATAAGATATTTAAATGTTTATTTGTCTCAACTGGAGGTATTTAAAAATAGCTCCAGGCTTCTAACAGTCGTGTGCTGTGGGGCATGGTGGGTTTTTGGTTGGGTTTAGCTTCTGATTTTTTCCAATAACATTGGCTTTTTGCGTGTTTTTGGATATCGATCAAGATACCCATCTGAGGGTTAATACTAAAGACTTCGAATGTGCATAACACAACGCTTGAAGGTCAAATATAGCATTGCTAAAGATCTCTTGCAAAGGGCAGATGAGAAGTCTGTAGAGCTTTGGAGACCAAGAGGGGAAAGTGAGAATTGACTCTTGGTTCAGGTAAACCAGTGCTGTTGCACGGGAGCCCATGCAGCCTCCTAACCCCCCAGTACCTACCTGCTCCCCCGGAGTCTGTATTGAGCTCGTGCAAGCTCTGGGTCGCAGAGAGCGGTGTTGGTCTGTGTTTCATGGCTCTGAGCTCATGTTCTCTGTCTCTTGCCTCCAGCCAAGCTGCTTTGGCTACCCCTTGAGCATCTTCTTCATCATCATCAATGAGTTCTGCGAGCGGTTCTCCTACTATGGCATGCGAGGTACGTCTCGTGTCCCCTAGTCCCCTCATGCTGACAGTTACTTACCCAGCCCTGACCTTGGTTTGTAACCTGTTGTTTTGTTCTTCTTCCTACAGCGGTGCTCGTTTTGTATTTCAAATATTTTCTGCAATGGGATGACAACTTGTCTACAGCCATCTACCACACATTCGTTGCTCTGTGCTACTTGACACCGATCCTTGGAGCACTCATTGCGGACTCTTGGCTGGGGAAGTTTAAGTGAGTGCTTGCTCAGAAACCAACCAAAATCATGAAAGCTCACCTGAGATCAGTGTTACTTAAACCATCACCTAAAGCAGCAATTCAGAACAACAGCTTCAGAGCTGGTGTTGGCTACTCCAGGACTGTTTGTGATTTGTTTTTTGTTTTGTTTTTTTTTTTTTTTTTTCTCCAAAGCTTGAGGTTTTCATTGATTTAGCTCAGCCTTGAAACTGCACTGTGAGTTAATGAATGTTGCGGTTCTGTTAACCAGTTAAGGGTAGTAGCTTGCTTTCTAAGCATGCTGCATGTTTTTTCCTCTTATCTGGACAAAATATAAGCTAAACTAAGGAAAGTATTTACCAAACTGTGAAAATAGATACTGAATGTTATAATAACATTGGACTGCCTCTTTACCTATTGCAGGTGACCAATGAAATAGTGAAGTACTGTGTTATCTGGTGTTAACTGGGACTTGGAAAATATTCTAAAATATTTTGTGATGTCAGTATTGACTTGACAGGTCAGTGGGAGGTTTTGCTGAGTTGCAGCTCTTTCTTTAAATGACGAATTCTGGGTTTTTACCTGTGTGCTACTTGCTTAGAAAAGTACTGCTGACTGAAGTGCTTTGAAATGTAACCAAATTATTTCCAACAGCCTGATATCGGTCTCCTTTACCGATGTCGTGATTTTTAATAGTGTTTACCCTGCCAGGAAAAGCAAGCACAATAAAGATTTTATGAAGAGATATGCATCGGGAATGTTAGCTGACTTGTCAAAGGTCTCCCAGAGATTAGAGATGAAGCTGGCCGTGCAGTCGGTCGGCTGAAGGCTGCGCCATCTCCTTCTGCTGTGTCAACAGCCGCTGGGAGCCCAGGGCTGCAACCACCATCAGGTCTGCCCTGCAGAGATGGTCTCCTCAGTGTAAACTCATTGCAAGGAGCTGGATATCTTGCAGATTGCAGCCTAAGTATGTTGTGTCCTCACTTGTTTAGGTGGTTTGGCTCTTACCTGGTTTTTATCAAGAGGGAGCTTTGCCAACCTGGCATCCCTTCTCTGGTACTTGGGTACAGCAGTGCTGCAGCTGCAAGAAAGCCCCTGACCACCAGACCCGTAATAGGAGCTCAATCAGCTGGCTCAGGGCTTAAAAACTGGAACTTTAAGCTTGACAAGAAAAAACATGCTTTTGGAAAAAGCATGGGTTTAGTGTATAGATGCCCTAAAATACAGCAAGGTGCCATAAGGATTGCTTAAACAATACTTAATTAAAAAAAAAGAAATCTACGATGACAAGAGGAAGAGGAGGTTCCCCAAGCACTGTTAAGCACTCTTATAGGAGAGAGTCAAATCTTCCACCATCCATGTACTTTGTGCAATGTCTGCCCAGGAGCATGCTGGGACTGCTCACATATTGCTACGTGTGCAGTTCTTGGGGAAAATAGTACAGAAATCACTATTATTTTTTCAATTGTGTACCATCTATGCAGTGCCAGTTACGTAAGTGTTGTCTTCACAGCGTACTTATGAGCCTCACAAATAAAAGCCAGAAGTTTCTCTCCTGCTCTGCTCAGGTTTAACTTCAATTGGAAACTTTCCCAAGTTGTTAAGCAACTAAAGTAACTATATGGAAATGTTATTAAAAAAAAAAAAATTCAAATCTGTCTACTAAATACCACTAAATAGCGGATTCACTGTTGCTCCACTTTGTATAGTTTTTTAGCCTGCTACAGGGAAGAGCATTTTTATGTCAGGGACACCTTGTTCTAAAGTGAGAAGAACTTGGTCAGTGGTGTGAGTGATGCTTCTTCTGTCCCTCTTGTAGCAGGGTGTTCCAAACTTGCTGTGAGGATCTCCTGTCTTTGTCAAATAGATTTGGATTGTCCTAGGTCCTTGAGCCTTGCCCTCCATTGCCATGGGCTGCACTGAGTTAGGGACTGCTTCTCCCGCAAACCAGAGTTTTAAAGAATTTCACATCATTGCATCCTACTTCTGCTTTTCCTCCAAACCAGACACTTGGGTCTGTGCCCATCGAATGGAGCCCCAACCAAGGAAGCGGATGAACATGGATTAAACTGTAGTCATGTACTTAAGCTCCAACAAAGTTAAAATGGAGTATGTTCTTACATACAAGGAAGAGAAATGGTCCCTAAAGACACGGGGGTGGGGGCTGGTGATTCTGTGGTATTTTCCGAGGAAATTCAGGTTGAAAGCCTGCAGTCTCTACTATTCAGTGCTGCTTTCACTCCACTCTGCATTTAAAGATGTTGGTATGCTTACTGCTGGGCAAGAGGGGTAATAGAGTTGTTGTTCACAACAGTATTTTGGGGGAGGTTCTATGTTTAAACTAGATCTTTAATTTTTTTTTTTAGTCCTTGCAGCTAAAATACAAAATAACATAGAGAATGTTTGAACAACATTGAAATCGGTGTAAATTGCACACTTCAGTGTTGTAGAGTAGTCCATTTGAACTTCACCATATGTGAAATATGATAATGGCATTCTTGAGTTGGTTATTAAAAGGGCAGCCACTGAAGAGACTTAAATATCTCCCATGCCCTGCTGATATCTACAGAATCCATTTGTCATCTTGCTTGGCTTAATTAAACAAGGCTAGCTAAAATACTACTACTACTAATAATAATAATAAAAAAACCAACCAAACAACAACAACAAAAAAAAACAAAACCAAAAAACAAAACAGCAACACAGAATAGAAATATTGTGATAGAGGTATGTGGAGAGATTTCTACAGTAGCTTGTGATAGGTTGAATCTGTATCTTGTTATATCTGTTAATTATGCTTCTTTACTAAGCATCTTTGAAATGAGAAGTCAGAAGTTATCTGTGTGTATGTGTATATGTGAGTAATTGTGTTAATATATCTCAAAATTGTTCTTTTCTCTTAAAAACAGGACTATTGTCTCCCTGTCCATTGTCTATACCATTGGACAGGCAGTCATGTCTATCAGCTCCATAAATGACCTGACGGATCACAACTGGGATGGCTCTCCTGACAATATATCAGTTCACATGTGAGTTGCCTTGTACATGGGGTTTTTTCCAGGTTGATGAAGGGTGGGACAACTTATGCCTTAAATTTATGCTACTTGAATTTCAACTGTCTTGCAATCAGTCTCTTATGTACGCTTCAAATAAGAAAGCAAAGTGTTGGTTCGTGTTTTGGTTTTGTTTTTTTTTTTTTTGTTTTGTTGTTGTTGTTTTTTTTTTTTTTCTTTTAATGATTTTTATTTTTATTTTTCTCTTTTCTACTCTGTTCCAGTGCTCTGTCCATGACTGGCTTGATCCTTATTGCGCTTGGTACTGGTGGGATCAAACCTTGTGTCTCAGCGTTTGGTGGAGATCAGTTTACAGATGATCAGGTAACAATGTCTTTCAGACTCAGTCATACAGACACTCTTACTAATGTTTGACTATTGTAATACTCTAATAATATACATATTTAGACATGTGCATTACTGTAGTGTTTCCTGAGTAGCTGAAGATGGAGCTAGATAGCTAATTGTCTTGGACTGTGCAAACAGAGCTGATTGTTCAGTCTGGGCTGATCAGTGTGATTCTGGCTAAGCTTTACTGAACATATTTCTGTGTTTACTGTAGGAAAAACAAAGAACTAGATTCTTCTCTATCTTCTATTTGTCCATTAATGCTGGAAGTCTCCTGTCTACTATAATCACCCCAACTCTCAGAGGTAAGGCTACACATTTGTTCATTAAATAGTTAAGCATCAGTCAAGGATGAGTGTTGGGTTGCAGTCCAGTTAGGTTAAAATGCACAGGCATTTTAACATTCTTTGACACCTTGTGGAGTTATCTGGCAAATAGTCTTCAAATTTTCATGTATGTCATCCAACTTCTCATAGGTAAGGTACTGTCAAAAACAAGACAGTTTGAGATCTGAATTGCCTTTAAGATCAGAAGTACTAAATCTGAAGAAACATGCTGAAGCCATCAACTTGTATGCCTAATGCATGTTTTAATTTCATGGAGGTACAAATGTGACACCTCTTCCAATGCCTTTAAAACCATCACAAGAAAGAGTCGTACTGTTTGTTGGGAAGGGAAGCAGTGAGAGAGCCCTCTACTCTGGAAGTGGAGACTCTTCCAAAGTGTGCCGATGCAAAGCACAGAAGCATCTGTGCACATGGGAACACATTTGTCCATGTGACAAAGTAAATCATGTTTTTCATACCGTTAATGGAGAAAGTTATTTTCTCCTCTGGTTATAACGAATAGTATTATCCTAAACAAAAAGCAAACAATTCACTGGTCCATATGCATATGGATTTTTGTGGCAAGCTTACACAGATGGTGCTGTACGGATGTGCTTCACAGGAGTTTGAAGAAGGCTGTTCTTCTCAAAAGAAAGAAAACGGCATGTGAGTTCTGGAATAGCCCTAAAGCACTAGGCTGAAATTCTGGCCTTCAGATTTCTTGACTGGAACAGACTGTGTAGAAGTGTTTTAAATGTTTGCTTAATGCAAATTCTATCCTTTCCCCAAATGGAAGGAGATATGCGTAAGGCACAACATGCGGTTTGCTTCCATGCTGATACAGGGTGAAAACTGCCTTGGAAAAAGACAAATTCAACTGAAGAAAGTGATAACATTGTCCTGTAAAAGTTTAACCAAAAGGCTAATACAACTAAATCAAGACATTAAATAGCTGCCAGCTAATCTTTTTTCAAATCAAACTCTCTAATTCTCCTGTTAGAAGAAGTATGATGAAAAAGGTAATAATTTTGTTTAGTCTTTTCCCTGACATAGCTTTGTCCACACTCTGAACATCATTTCAGCATGTATGTATGAAGTTCATAAAGTTAAATCACTGACTGCTGCCAGGAGAGTGGGGGGTGTATGTGTGAGGTGTTTGAGAATTTTTTCAACAAGCTGCACTTATTATGTTATTTACATCTTTATGAACTAGTCCCAAAACTTTTGTAATCTAGTTCCTTTCTCACCAAGAACATGCATTGGACCATTCCAGTAGGATTCTTCACTTCCCAGTGTAAAACTAAATGGAAATCTCCTGTGAGGAGAGGCTGAGAAAGCTGGGACTCTTCAGCCTGGAGAAGGGAAGGCTCAGGGGGGTGGGAGTTCATTGATTTATATAAAAACCTGCAGGGAGGGTGCAAAGAGGACAGAGCGAGGCTCTGCTCAGTGGTGCCCAGTGACAGGACCAGAGGTGATGGGCACAACCTGAAACACAGGAGGGTCCCTCAACATCAGGACACACTTTTTTCCTGGGAGGGTGACCGAGCACTGGCACAGGTTGCCCAGGGAGGTTGTGGAGTCTCCATCCTTCACAGTAGTCAAAAGCCATACGGACACAGCAAACGGCTGGGTAAATGGCTCTATGTGGCCCAGCTTGGGCCACGGGTGTTGGACCAGGTGACTCCTAGAGTTCCCTTCCAACCTGAACCATTCAGTGATTTTTGTGATACAAAATTCCCCTTTTCAGTAATGAATCGGATACTGATCATCCACTCTGTCAGTAACATCAACAGAGATTTTTTTTTTTTTTTTTTTCCTCTGGGGGTTTCTATTCTTTGCATTCATTGTAAACTATGTAAAATACTGGCAGCCCTGACTGGGACTTTTTATCTAATGTTACTTTGTACTTCAGCTCAAGAGTGTGGCATTCACAGCAAACAGCGGTGTTACCCACTAGCTTTTGGAGTTCCTGCTGTTCTCATGGCTGTCTCCTTGGGTAAGTGGAGCTGTTTCCATCTTGTTGCCTCAGTTATAGACATGATTAGATGCTGACAATCTCAGAGCAATGAGAAAGTGGTAGAAATCTCCACGTATCAACCTCTATTAATACCTGATTGTTTCTGCAATTTTTGACTTCAACTTTTTTCATTGTGGGTGGGGGGTAGGTGGAATTAACCTGAAGCACTCACTTTTACAGAAGATTCTCATTTACCAGGAGAGGCTGATGGGGCTAGGGAGAGGCACAAATATACCACTGAATCCTGCACATTATGTAATTTACTGTCTATATTTCTTGAACTACTGGGGTATATAAATAAGATCTTTTGAATGTAGTGTGAGAACTCTGAGAAAATGTGGGTTTTGGAAACTATCCACAGTCCAGGATATTGAACCGTATAAGGTAATTCTCCCTCCACTGACGAAATGCCATCCTGGTGTGTCAGTATTTCTCAAACACCTGCATTTTTACTAGCTGTGCTACGGGTCACTCCCCGAGCCTTTCTGCTGCAGCACAAAGACTGAGAAACTGGGTGTGGGGGTGGGGGGGGTGGGGGGGTGTCAGTATGTACCAGGGTATCCCTCCGGGTCCTGGTCCTTCATGGTCCTGACCGGGAGCCCACCCAGGGTGGGCCTCCAGCTCCTGGTGACCCCGTCTTGCCCGTGCACCCCACCCAGGGCGGGCAGCGGCCGCGGGGGGTTTCCCCGTGTCCTGCCCCGTGGGAGGGTGAGGCCGGGGAACGTGCCCGGGGCGGGAGCCGAGGGCACCTCGGTGAGTCCGGGAGCTCGGGTCCCTGCGTGGCGTGAGCTCCGGCGTCCTGAAGAGGAGCCCCTGGAGCTGCCTTAAGCTGGCACAGCAAGGCCAGAGCCACGGTCCTAAGTGGCCCTTGTTTTGACCATCCCTCAGTTAAGCTAATGTCCCACTGAGGGCTTACCCGAAGAGTTTCCACATTTTGCCTTAAATAGAAGCGATCTGTTGGTATTACATTTCTTTTACTGCATGATAACATGCTAATAGGCAATTGTATTGCTCCTTAGGAGACTTATTCCCACACTGATGTAACTCCTTGACTGTTACAGTTTCCACTCCAAAATATTTGCTACTATTTTCAATTAATCCCAAATTGCTATTTGGTTTATGTTGTTTGTTGCAGTTTAATTTTTTTTTTTTCCTGTTTGTAGCTGTGTTCATAATCGGAAGTGGAATGTACAAGAAAGTTAAGCCACAAGGAAATATAATGATTAAAGTTTCCAAATGTATTGGAGTAAGTACTATTTGTATTCCCCAAAACCCTGGCAGCAATTTTTAAAGCTTTTCAGTAAACTTGCCTAGATCAGAAATCTGTCATAATATGAGGAAAGCTTCTGAAGTTTTTTACTTTTTTTCTTTACAGAAGGCTTCTTACTGACACCTCCAGATTTAGACTTCCTTTTTTTTTATCTGTATCTTGATTTACATGTGAATTTATACACAGAGGAAACAGAGAAAGATGTCAGTGATGTGTAAAAGCTTATCCCAACTTCTGGGAATCATTCCTTCCTCGTTTGTGCACCTTCATGCAGCCCTGTAATAAGAGGAAAACATGCCTTGACCTCTCTGCTCTCAAGAACAGAGCTACTAGTATATCTTATCAGCAAAAATGTATTGCTTATTAAAAGAATGTTATTTACAATGCAGAGGTATATTGATGCCTGTTGTATTAAGGAAATCGGGGAGGGGGGTTACATGTCAGTGGAAGCCTGCAAGGAAGGGAGCTAAATCTGCATGAATAGCACTGTATGTCTCAACTTTGTAGTGCCTCAACTTTGAGATCAGGGGATTTTTTTCATTTATGGACTTCATTCTCCATGCAGATCTGTCAGCTTGTTGTAGCCCAGACCATTGATTATCTTGTAAGCACTGTTAAAACCAAATTTCTATAGGTGACTTTGGTCATTGCTTAGAGTGCTGCCCATAAGTCCCAGCTCAGCCGTGCATGTTACTCCATGCAGAAAGTCTTAGGAGTTTTTCAGGACTATATCTGTGTATATTCAGTGTCAAGGTATAAAGAATATCTACAAGATGCAGCTTCTTATAGTGAAATGTACTCTTACAGCTGTTCAGCTCTGAAAACCTGTGCATATGACATTCTTCTTGTTTATTGTTGTACGTAAGTCTGAAGTAGGCAGGTCTTCAAGTTCCTAACAGCAACTCACATTGGAAGACACTCCTCCGAGTGGTTTGGTTCACGTAATCCCAGGTGCACACTCCACTGGATATGCAGTGTGAGGCCTTAAATGCAATATTCCCTTAGACGCTTAGAGCAGTTAACAGAAGTAAGTCACCTTTAGCACCCTCTAAACACTGGAAGCAGGAGTGTCACCTTTAATGACAAAACAACTTATAGCATTTTATAGGCATTTGTAATGCCATTAATCAAAACTCTGTCTCTCCTCAGTTTGCCATCAAAAACAGGTTTCGGCATCGCAGCAAGGAGTTCCCCAAGAGAGAGCACTGGCTAGACTGGGCGAGTGAGAAGTATGATGTAAGTACCACGTGCGCACTCTCCTGAGCCTCAGCTTCTCTTCTGTCCGCTCTGATCCATTGCCTCAAGTGCTGGGCAAATAGTTTTGGGCCTCTCGAGGCCTTTAAAAGCTAATGGTCTGGCCAGACCTCTGAACTCCCCTGGGATTCCAATTTATCACCGCAACTCCTGTGGCAGAGAGCAGAACTGTGCGAGTTGATGCTCTGTGAGATCATGAGCTGTCCAGCAAGATTCAAGGGAAGTGAAGAAAAGACTATTTCCATTGTCAAAAAAAATGCAAGCACCCATTATTTTTTTAGTTGGTAAAACAGCAAGCATATTCTTGTCAGCTTCTGGTTTCTCTCAGTAAACTGGCTTCAAACAGAAATATGCTGGCTTACTGACTACAGAAGGGAAAAATGGGCATGGTGTTGACTGTCGTGGTTAACGCACAGGACCATAACATTTGTCTTGGGATCAAACTGCAGAATTATGCTTAGGAATTTCAGCTTAAGTGGATAAACATTGCATCCCCCCAGCCTCAGTACAAGCTTCTTACCATGACTCTCAAAGACTTGTGTCCCACAGTCCCCAACCACATCCCTTGCCTCCTATCCACCCTGCCCTGTTGTCAGCCACACACAAACCTTAGCCTGTCCCTTTTATTTTCCTTTTGCCTATATGCATTTTTCATGTGTGAAATGCATTCCTCGGTCACCCGTCGTTCAAACACCTCCTTTCTAGAAAAATAACCCAGCGCCAAGTGCAAAATCTCATGCTGCCATCAGCATACCTGCCAAGAGGCACAGGTGTCTCTGCTATCGGTGTCACCTTTAACCGGCAGCCCTTCCCACACCCACAAGCAGACCTTGTGCTTTTTAACAGAAATCAGCAGAAGAACCCACAACACACAGTTTAAGACATCGGTAAACATTACATGATGCGCCTTTACCTGTTGCTGTGCTGTGTATAGCAGTCTGCAACTGGCTTTTTTTTCTTTTTTTTTTTTTAACCAATTCCTCTTGTGTAATTCTCGTTTGCTGCAGAAACGACTGATTGCTCAGACTAAGGCGGTGTTGAAGGTGCTTTTCCTTTACATCCCTCTACCCATGTTCTGGGCACTTTTTGACCAGCAGGTAAAGTAGAAATTGTTTGGCTTGTGCCACGTCACTCTCTGTGCTCTGAGGTCACCAAACATAAAAGGCACCTATGGGAGGGTGGAAAATAGTTCTCTGCATATTCTTTAACTTGGTTCTAATGTGAAGGGCTGGTTGCTGAGCCATGTTAGCACATGATGATTTGCAGCCAGGGGAAGCTGTTTATCTGGACATGCCCAGAACTGGTTCAGTGACTGAGGCCACTCCAAGTCTTCTATCAGCCAGGACTTGGAGGATAAACCAGTGGTTTAAAGCTTTCTTAGTTCTAACACTTCTTCTGCTGTCAGTTGTGAGACGAAATGTTGGGTCCTAATGTAAATGCTCCGAAGAATCAGGGCTGAAATGACCTGGATGCCAGATTGCTTAATCACTCACATTTGTTATAAATACTTCACACCTTCAAGCAGAATTATAAGCCTATAATTCCCATTCAGTTGGTGGACTGAGTGCTCAGGATTTACGAAAGCAGACTTTCATAATTAAGTACCGAAGCATGAGTTTAGGAGAGTGCCTGAGAGAACTGGGTGCTAAAAGCTTTATCCAAGGCAGACTAGGAAGTTTGGTCCAGATTGCCAAATCGTGCTGCTTTAGTCTAGTACCAATGAGCTGTAACTCTCAGCATGGCCTGTTACAAATAGGCAACCCTGCTATGAAATTCAGAACTAGATACTCATTACGTGAATAATAAGCCACACTTCGGGCAGTGGTACATCGCGGGTGGTTAAAAGCTCTTGCCACAGATGCAGGGATGCACATTCCTGCCTCACCCTGGGCTCAGGCTGAAAGTCAGCCCCTCTTAAGCCAGCCTTAGGCAGCCGTGCTGGGCAGAGGGTTCAGGCCTGGCTTGGCTGCTCACCACTCATTTAACTTTCTCTTCTTTTGTTAAGGGGTCAAGATGGACACTGCAAGCCACAGCAATGGATGGGAATTTTGTAGGTTACTTTTTCTTGCCTTTTTTTTTTTTTTTTTTCCTTAACACTTGCTTTTCTGATCGGTTTTCTGTTGTCATAATATAAAAGACTATTTATGTTTTTTCTTCACCAGGGATCTATGAAGCTTCAGCCAGACCAAATGCAGGTAAAGTAATCTTCTGTCTACCAATTCTAAGTACTTCTCAAAGATTATATGGAGATATTATATATATATATGTATATATATAAATTGCTCTTCATTAAAAAAAGGACTTTGAAAAATACTTGATTTTCCCCTCCCTTCTCATGTTCATCTTCAACAGACTGTGAATCCAATCCTGATTATTATAATGGTGCCAGTTGTAGATGCTGTGGTTTATCCCTTAATCAAGAAATGCAAGATCAATTTTACGTAAGTTGATGTACTTACCTGACTTCAACAGAAGCTCATTGTAGTGGTTTCTTTAAACTGCTCTTCCAGCCCTAATGTAAGAAGAGCAAGCATTCAGCTAAGGAGAAATTAGCAGTGTATTTAAAATGGGGTTAATATTTTAAAGAAATGTAAAAATGTAGAATACTGCAAATGGTATGTACAGGCACCACAGACCAGAGGAAGAGAATCTAATAATAAAGTAACAATATTTTCCAGTTAAGGGCAAAATCTTTTGATTGCAGGAGAAATGCCGTTTACTGTTTTCCACTTCCCCCATGTGTACCCTCTCTCCTTTCCAAAGTGCAAGAAGTAGAAATACAACATACATCCTTAGCATGTGTCATGTTTTGGGCTTAAAACTACCTGAGATAAGATGTGTTTTCTCTTTTCTCCCAGTGAGGAGCCTGGCTCATTGGATACTTCTAGGTGTCACTTCAGAGGGCATTGCACATTATTTTTAATGTTGGTAATGAAGTGGCTCACAGTTGCAAGTTGGAGAGGTGGAAAAAATACAGTTCTTAAGGCAATTTTTATAGGGCTAAGATGCAATGCTGTTTTCCCATCCAGTTATGAAAAACTGGGGGCATGTGCTGTGCTGGAAATGCTGCCATTCATTTGTGGACATTTTACATCTCACAAATGATGCCATAAATAAAATATCTACCTTAAACTTACAGCTTAACTGAATGTCAGTAGATGTTTCCTAATTCAACATATTTCCCTGACTTTTTTTGTTCAACATTATTTTGATTTAATCATAGCAATATAGATACAAGTTACTCTTTTTTAAAAGGCCTAACTTCTTGTCTTTCTGTTTTAAAGCTAACAACTGACCTGGATTGGGTTCTTTTCTTCCTGCAGATCAGACTTCTCCAGAAAACTAATAATTATGTTCAGGCAGTGTTTGAGCCCAGCAGATGCAGAGTAACAGGTTGTTAAGATGCTGCAGGAAAGATGTATTCCCCAATAGTGTAACTCTGAATTAAGAGGTACCCATCTTAGCAGAACACTTTCCGTAACAACATCAGCCTTTCAAATGGTGATAACATGCTAGTTGTGGCCATGTGAGTTTCCCACCATGGAAGGAAAACAAATAACAGGTGAAGCTTTGCATAAATATTTATCTTAAAACTCACTTATGTGTTTTGTTGTTGTACTAGGCCCCTGAGGAAGATCACTGTTGGCATGTTCCTGGCATCTTTGGCTTTTGTTGCTGCTGCCCTTGTGCAAGTGCAAATAGATGTAAGTTCAGCCACATGCAAGTATTTACTACTAATATTTAGATGTTAACACAGAACAAGGTTTGTTTTGGGGGAAAATGAGCTGAGACTCCAGAACCAAGCATCAGAGCATGTAAGTAGAGGGAGGGGAAAATATTAAAATATATTGTAATAGTGTGATTAGCATAATAAAATTAACTAGCTAAGAACACCATCCTGCAAAACATCTCATCTGCCATTAACATAAATCATGTACTAAAAGCAACCTCAGGTCTTTAAACTGAGACTAAAAGCTAAAAACCAGAGGTGTGTTTGGCCTATCATGGGGCTGTTTTGTATCTCTGATCTCTTCTGATATTTAGACTGGAGGTGAAGTGTGACAGTCTGGGAAGCATCATCACAGCATGGGCAAAGATGATCCCTGTTTAAGGCAGGACTCCTCACACCTAACTTTCCTTGCCCCAGAGGGAGGTGTCATGCCTGGACCAGGTGAAGGTTTCCCCTGTAGCTGAGGCATTAGTAACACCTCTGGGAGGTGATCCATTGCATTCCAAGATCTGAATAGCTATCCAGAGGTGCCTGCCTGTCTTTGTGCACCATCAAGGCAAGATGCTCAACTCTTAAATAGCTTTAGTTAGGAATGAGGAATTCTCTCCTTAATGCCTGGGTCTAGCAGCGCAACAAACTTTATATTGCACTCTGCCTCTTGAAGTTGGAAGTAAAGGGTCTGGCCTCAGCTGGTATAAACACATCCAGGCTGTCTTGCCAAATGCCCTGTTCAGAAGGCCAGAGCAGTGCACACACACGTAGCGGCCTTGGGCAGAAGCTTCATCAAAGCTGGTAACTTCGCAGACTGTTGCATGAGAATCTCCTGCAGAAAGGTAAAGATGGACCCGTTTTTGTTGTGTGATGTACCTAAAGAGATGGAAGCAGACAAAAGTATGGGAAAGGAGGAAAGGTTGAGACAGAACTGGAATAGACACAACTCGCAGTTCTTGATGCTCTGCAAAAGCAGAAGCTATTTACTGTTAGATCTGGTGGGAACTGGAGTCTCCAGAAGTTCAGTTTCTCTGGGCTGTCACACCAGGCAGTGCCCATACCTGCTTCTGTCCAGTTCAGCAGCACCACTGCTGGGGGAGAACAAGTCAGAACATGGCTCAAAGAAACTCAGGAACCCAGGCAGCCACAGGATGTGTGAAAAGCCCGTTCCTTGAACTACAGAGCAGCCTTGGTAGTGGTGGCATGCTGCAGGATGTGATCGAAAAGGAACCACATCTGGCCACGGAGGCATCATTGTGGATGAGACTTCTTTCCCAAGGCAGTAGTAAGGCAACTTGTGAGACTAGTAGCAAAAACTATTATTAAAGTTGCATCCCTCTGACAAACACAGATCATCAGGCAAATGCTAATATTCATCATAAGACAATTAAGATCACAGTAATTATAGTACTTTTTCTATGTGACTAAGGATAGGGCACTGAATTTACTTTTTTCTGTCCTACAGAAAACTCTTCCAGTTTTCCCTGCAGCTGGGCAGTCCCAAATCAAAGTAATAAATCTAGGTACTGACGGTGCCACAGTTCGGTTTGAATCTCCACTTCAGAGTGTGAATGTAATGTCTATGGAGTCGGTAAGTAAGGGGAGACAGGGAAAAGCAAGTTAGAAAAAAAAATCTAATGGAGTAAGTCAAAGTGGTTCTTAACTAATGGTTCAAAATTGACTCTTTTCTAGTTTTTCCTCTAGTAATTTTAAAGATTATTTCTTTTTTTTTGTATTGTGGAATGAATTGTTACTGAAAACACAGTGAATGAAGAAATGGTAACTTTCAATATTCTAACTAGTACTAGTTTGCTTTGGCAAGAGGTTTGTTTTGGTCTGTTTTGGTTTTTTTCCAAGAAATTTTAAGAAACTCAATACTGATTTTGAACCAATTGAAAATTCAATTCTTGCTAAAAAGGTACCATTTCTTAACAGCAATAACACCCCTTCCTTCAATAAAAGTCCATTCAGCTTTAGTAAGTCACTGCTCTTACTGTGAGTGACCACTTACTTGAACAGGGAGCTTTTTCTGTGGCTACATCACATATATTAATCTTCAGATTTTGCTGTCAAGGAATCTTTTCAGGTTCTATTACAGCAGAACTTTGGTAGCCCTATTGACAGCAAAGATGGACATTTTTAATAATGGATGTTAGGAAGTGTGTTCTCTGATAGACCACAGTCCTGTTTCCATATAAGAGGAGAAACCCTATTGCATTCTCCTCCAAATTTGCCTCACATGGAAACTGAGATGTGAGGAGAAGATAAGGGCACCTCACTTGTGTGCTGATGTGAAAATCATATAACCATGGTGCACACCTGAAAATGAAGGGTGTAAAATGCTCCACTCCCTACTATAGACATTTTATAAACCCGGTGTTTTGGATTATAAAATGCTTTTTATAATTCTATAAAACAAAATAGTTATTTTAGTACTCCATTGACATGTTTTTATTAATGTTTTAAGTATTTTATGATGATGAAATGTATTTAGGATATTTAAAACATGTCCTGGTAATAGTCACTCCTATAATGCTGAAACCATAAAGATGTAGTTTGCATTTGCATCTCTTAGAGGGGCTGCTATTTGGAAAATGCTGCATCTTAACTTATGCTAGTATTGCCTCTGTAGCTGAACAGAATGTTACTTGGTGGTGGTGGTAAGCCTAACTTATCTGGAGCAAAGAATGTAAAGGAAAATATAACAGCTATTCCACAATGCTTGTGGGACGCTCATGTCACTTTGAAGCTTATGTAACAAAATAAATTAATTAAAAAATAATGATCAAATGAAATCAGTGATTGAAGTAGAAAACTTAACAAAAATGAAAGTTAGGAGATGCTCACGATCTCTGGCACTTCAGAAGTAACACACCTGTAAACTTCTGACCTCCCAGAGTTCATAACACTCCTTCTAAGGTGTAGACAAATATGCAGTTGCATGGAAATTCATAGCAATTTGTTTGTCCTTTGTAGACGGGCTACATGACATTTGAGACTTCTCAGTTGCAATCATTAAATATAATTTCTGGAAATAAAACTAGAACTGAAGTTATCAAGTTGCCAGGGGGAAACCGTCACACTCTTGGAATTAAAAATACTGCCACAGACATTGTTGCTAACTGGGTAAGTGCATAATATCCCCAAGATACACATTAATGTCTTAGCAGCTATCTGCATGGAGTGTGTGAAGCTGAGAGGACAAGGTCTGGGTAACTTTCCTTTGTCTTGTTTTCTGTCTCTCCCACTCTCTGCTGTACCAGTGAGACTGGTGACCTGTAGAGACCAGGGTGGGATGTTGTTTTGTTTTGTTTTTTTGTTTTTTTTTTTTTTTAAAGTAAAAAATTACCAACTTGGTATTTAACTTGACAATTACCCTTTCATCAAGACTTAAATGTGTGGTCATACAGCACTTTCTAGTAGGCATGTATCCTAGTAGGACACTAAAAGTGAAGGTCTGGAGTCCTGCTCTGAAGCCTCTGTTAATTCTCACTGCTATGTAATAGTAGCTCACATGTAAACTATTCACTGATGCCAATGAAGTATCTTGATAATGGTCTTTTCCACCAGCTGTTTGACAATGTCACATCAAAACCAGAAGAAGGAAATAATCTCATCAGGTAGAGTTTATTTTGTTCCTAAATTTTGGCAGTAGTGTGACTGTCTTTTCAATCTGCTTCTTGGATGGATTCTTCTTGCTTAACAGTTTTCTATACTGTAGGAACTCTCTGCTTGCTGGACACTTCACTCAATGTTAGGAGGTGTTGGAACTTCTGGGGCATGATTCATCTAAGTTATCTTGCATATCTATGTTGAGTATAATTTACCTAAAATTGGAAGGGTATGTTTTGCTCCATTGTCTAGACTTTTTTTGTATGCAACCAGCACAGATTGCATGTCTAGACCTCCTTTTTAATCTTGGGTAAGAAGTATTTCTCTGCTTTTCTTCTACATCTTCCAGTTTGCAGATGCATTCATTATTAGTTGTAGTAGAGGCTTGCTTTTGACATTTTCCTAAGCAGGCAGTGGGCTGATGTGGGCCTAGCTTGCTTTTTGCGTTAGCCACACTTTAAGAGATTTAGAGTTATTTCAAAAATGTTAACTGACAAAAACAAAAGGGGAAGACTTGATGCTTGTTGTGCTGCCAGTATATCATTAAAAGTAAAACCTGTATTCTTTGACTTACACATGTTTTGTTTAGTATTTCATCACTCTTGCATTTTAAAGGTTCATAAACAATTTTCCTGATACTATCAATGTCACTATGGGTAACACTCCTTTTGGAACACTGATGTCTCTTTCTGCCAGTAATTACAACCTCTTTTCAGGAGGAAGGTAAGCATTTTCCTTTACCCTACTCTAACCATTTAAAGACATACTTGTCCTTGGGAAAAGGACGTAGAGCTCTTTATTTTATATAAAATACACAATCGTCTATACATATGGTCTGAATTGTGTTTTTTCTTTTTCAGAAAATATAATATTACGGCTATTATAAATTCAGAGCTTTGTTCAGTTAATTCAAAGGCATTAGGATTTGGCAGTGCCTATACGATTGTAATTAACAGGGTGAGTTGCCAGTGATGTTGGATGCACATTACAGAACTACTTTTCATGTCAATATTTTCTTTAATTAAAAAACACTTGTAGAATTATCATTTGTCCTTAATTGTACATATGATAGAATGTTCTGTTAAACAGAAGATAAAACTATCATTAACTACAAAAACAATGATGGCTATAATAATAACATAATGCAAGAATTAATGTTCATTACTAATGGCTTTAAATCTTTAGTCCTATTAGGCACTAAGGATTTGCATGAAGTCTGTTGTAAAATAACTGCTTTATAGCTAGGCGTGCAGTACTTCATATACAATATTTCTTATTTACCCATAACTTTGTGTATATATGATTACAGAGATGATACAGAACTGCTTAGAGTGCTTTAGTATACAGACTCCTTACCACTGTTCCTAATGTGCTATTTTAATTTCCAGTGTACTGGAGAAACTCTTGATGTAACATATTCTGAAGATATCTCACCCAATACAGTCCACATGGCTTGGCAGATCCCTCAGTATTTTATTCTGACATGTGCAGAAGTAGTCTTCTCTGTCACTGGGCTAGAGTTTTCATACTCACAGGTAGGTTTTGCTCTTCAGAGCTCTCATTGTGTTAAGAGTCCTGGTACAAAGATGATCTTCTGTCATCTATTGTTTTTAAGTGGTGGTTCCATATTCCTGTTTTGTTTGAACAATTATGTCCTTCAGAGCTCCCTAGGACTATAGGCTGGTGCAAGTTGACCATATTTCACCAGCATTCAGTGTTTTCCATGAAGCTATGCTGAATTATATCATTTGAAGACTTGACTACCAGTCCTCAAATCTCCTTCTCACATGCGATTTTCCACTGAAAATAAGTGGAACTGTACTGCTGCTGTAAAAGCAAATGGGAGACCTCTCAAATATAAACTGAACAAGTACTGGCACCTTATCTCCACACTTATTTCCTCCATACAGTGTTTAGCAGCAGTTTAATTATACACTCTTAATTCCTTTGTCTTCCTACTCCAGTTTGTTATTAGTTGTGTGTATTTCTTCCCTTAATTCTGAGTCTATAAACTGTAGTGATGGGAACGTTACAAGATGTGGCTTGCTAGATGATCATGTGTTCAATTTCTTCATTTAATGTGTACCATGTGTGAATGGGATGTAAAATATGCTTGTTAGTTACTCACTGTGTATGAAGTAAAAGGTATTATAGTTAGTATTAGCAATCTCTTTCTCCCCAAAGACTTCCCCAGGCCTGTTTAGGTCTCTAGCAATTTTTAATTAACACGTAAAAACAACAAAACCTCAAACCATTAAATCCTCTTTCCCTCAGAGAACCAGTGTTTGTCTGATGTTTACGGCATTCTTTACATTATAAAAGTAAGTTTTTGACTAAAACTTAAGTGTCTTCCTTCTGTAGGCCCCATCTAACATGAAGGCAGTGCTGCAGGCAGGATGGCTGTTGACAGTGGCTGTCGGTAACATAATTGTCCTTATTGTGGCTGGAGCATCCAAACTCAGTGAGCAGGTAAGCACACAACCAGCGTGCTATTCTATTAGGCTATGAGAAAGGAGCTCTAATCCAGCGGGGAGTCGTGGCTGATAATCCTCAACCACAATTTTTGAACATCAGCATTACAGTGGATTTGTGTTTATAATGGCAATACAGATGGTTAGTCTTAGCTACAAGAGTGTACCAGTCAGTTGTAGAACTGGTACTTGAGTATATAAGTAACAGAGTTACAAATCTTTACAACCTGTTTGGATTAAAACTAGTGTTGAAGGCTGTGACAACAGGGTGGTAACTTGTCTCCTGGAGCCTCTTCTAAAGCTTCTGTTGGACGTTCTCCCCAGCACTTCCCCAACATGTGTATGTATGTGTACGCATGCATATGAAACTTTTAACAACTTTAACAAATACTTCAACAAAGGTTTCTACCTCTTTTTTTTTTTCTGTTGTTTGCCATTCTTAACTCTTGTTCTGTCAGGCTCTTTTGCTTGCAAGCTGCAGTTTCTAGCATCTCTACAATAAATTGCTTCTCCTTGTGTGGAAAGGCTGTGAACTTCTGGGCTGAAATTTTAAACTAATGGGATTAAAACCTACCAAAACTCTTTTCACTGCTAATGAACCTTCACCTGCATGCCTCATCCTTGCCACTTCCCTTCTGGCTCCATTGGTTTCAGAACTCATTCTTTTGGGGCATGAAAGTTGTGGTTCTTTTGGTGAAGAGCACCTGGACAAGATTATCTTGGACTACTAGTGGCACTCCCTAATGAATCAAAAGGGACATCTGAGAGAGGGGAAGAGCCTGTCTTTGAAATGGGTCTGGCAGTCCTGGTTTCAGCTGAATTAACCAGAAAGCACAAAACAGATGTTGAGGCCTTTTCAGGTGGAGGTAGCATCTTGAAACCAGATTTCCTGGTCTTGCTCTCTGTCCCAATTTGTGGCCAGTAGAAGCTTTTTACTGCTGACCTAAGCCAAAGGAGGATCACTGCCGGCCTGGTTTAAAATGAAATTACCTGACCAAAAAGAGGGCCTGAGTTTCCTTTTCAGTCTTTCAGTCCATTCCTGTGCCTCCATGAAAAGGGTATTGTAGAACTTTGCAGCATTCACAGAACTTTTGTCTCTTCAATGAAGAAAGAACTGTTTAAAGGCCCTCAATTCTGAGTTGCTTTAATATCTATTATATACACCTGAAATGTATTCCCTTAAGTCATATGATACTTGCTATGCATGCTCAGTTTCACATTCTGAATTAACTTTATTCTTGCAAACAGTAAAATTGTGTAATATTCTTCTGAGGAAAAATATTGATGGATTATTTTTTTTTTTTTTACAGTGGGCAGAGTATGTGCTGTTTGCTGCCTTGCTGTTGGCAGTTTGCATCATTTTTGCTGTCATGGCTTATTTTTATACCTATACTGATCCAAATGAGATTGAAGCCCAACTCGATGAGGAAGAAAAGAAACAAGTCAAAAAGGATCAAGATGCCTATGAAAAGCAAGCTGAAGCTGTCTCTCGGATGTAAAAGGTGTATTCAAGGAGTGTTTGTAAATTATGGTATCCCATTAACTCTCCCTGCAGTAAGAGGAGTCAGGGTATCAGTAACACCTTTGGGTAATACATCTCATGGGGAGAGGTTAAGAAAAACTGTTTTAACTTAAAAGGCAGCCTCTCTTGGGAAGCAAGAGGAAAAGATTGGTCTTTCTACTGAACGTGGTACGGTGAAGAAACTCCAGCAGAATTTGCACTCTTAATGTACCTCAAGCTTAAATACCATAGCATTAAAATATTGAAATTGCACTCAGCACTATTAGACCCTGTGAAAAGATGTATTTTTATACTGCATTTCAATTTTATATCATTAAAGAAACATATATTGCCAAGAAAGAGTAATTGAAGCCAAGTTGTCTGCATGACCCCTCTAGCCTCACTGTTACTTGAAAGCAGCAGGTCACATGTGCCTTAAATTCTTTTATACTTCCTTATGGATAATGGGAGCAAAGCTCTGGCATTGTTCAGATTAAAATGCTGTCTGTGCTTCACATGGCAGTAACTTGAACATGCACAGCAATGTAATGTTTTACATGCCTGTTAACTACCCCTTCAACTCCTGTTATGTTTTTAATTAAATACATTAATGAGGTGTCCACTCAGGTAGACAGACAATGGCAAACAATGTTTGGAATAAGCAACAGCAATAAAACTTGTGTTGTAACAAAATAATGGAAGTGGTGTAAGAGTATGACTTACGGTTGCATGCTAACAAAACTTGATACCACCTCTCTGCTGCCTCTTCATATATGTTCCATCCCCTGAAGCTAAGGGATCAGTGTCCATCTTCTCTATCTTAATACACCTGCAGCACCCATCAAATTTATAGGAGGGAAGACTAGATTTTGCTGCTTAACAGGATTCTGTAGCCCTGTTGACTGTATTATGGGGTGCCAGGGGTCTGCATGTTGTTTTGGGAATTCCTCTATTTACTTCCACGTTGTATGCTTTCTCCAGCTGCTGGCTTGGACTCCCAGGCCTCTCCAGTAGCCTGGCCAGACCTACAGTTGCTTTGATACCTGGCTCCCAGTACTCTTATTCTATTTAACAGCAAGTCCAGCTTGATATTTGTAAGTGATCACGCAGACATACGTATTCAAGCAGCGTACATGTTGCTGGCACTGCAGACACGTGGTCCCCTCTGACTCCTGGTTCCCACTCCACGTGCTGGCACTTAGACCTCCATGTACACATGTGCACAGAGTCCCTCACCCATGAAAACAGTTAGAAATTGAGTTTGATAAGGCAAGTCCAAGGTGCTCTTCACCTGCATCCCAGATAGTCCTGTACCCCATAGGCATTAACCCCTTTCCCATGGATTCAAGATGCTGGGTGTCTCCCCACATCAAGGGGCGGAGGGGGCAGCTGGCTCCCCACCATCCTCTGAGAAGCTAAGGGGGTTTTGTACCAGCTTTACTTGTGGTAGACTAGGCAGCCTTTCCTCTTATGTGCAAGTTAAGCAAAATAAATTCTCTTAACTCTATCCCTACAGGATACTATCTTCTGTCTACTATTTTGTCCATACCAAGTTAAATGTTTATTTAGCTCTTTTTTTTTATTTTTATTTTTTCCTTTGAAATGCAGGTCAGTGATCTACTTTTTATATCATAAACTGTTGGAAGTTAGCACTTTAGCAAACCAAATAACTTGTCTACCACGCGGATGGATGTGTTTTATGGGTAGAAAGCCAGTAATGCTGTAAAATTAGATGGGAAAGCTTTCTGATGAGCAGAAAACAAACTTCTCCATCTCTTCAGCCCTGTCAGGTAGCATAGAGACAGTCATGTGATAAGATTTTATCTAATTTTCAACAGGAATTGAAGTAATTACAGTTAAAATATCCACGTGCCTTCTCATCCAAAATCTGATGTGCAAAAAATCAGGGAACCTTGTATAGGCACCTGGGCAGTGCTTGTCAGCATTGTTGACTGTGTCCAGAAGCCATGTGCAGGGAACTGGTCTTCTGGCTGGAATGAAGTGTTTTCTGTCCCTTTGTTTTGAGGATTAAAGAGGTAAGGCTTAACCTTTAAATCTGACAGTGTTTAGTTTTGGATGCTGCTGTCTGGAACACCAGGCTTTTGCATATCTTTTACTGTTACAGAGAAGATACCCTGAAATCAGGGGTATCAAATTAACAGTTCAGTTCTTATTTAAAACAAACAAACATACACCTTTAAAAAAATGCAAGAGTGGTGAATTATGAAAGCCTGCTCTAGCAATCAAAGCTGTACTCATGTCTGGCCAAGTAGATACAGGAATGTATATGTCTGTATGCTTACTAATATTAAAAATATACTGTACAGCTTCCATGTTTTTCCTACTGCTCATTAGCTCACCCTAATGACAGTTGACTTAAAATTGTTCAAAGTCAGATTCTCTGAACTACATGAATCCAGTCCCTGCTATTTGCTGTTCTTGAAAACAGACCTATGAGCAGCACAATCCTTTCAAAGACTTCTCTATAGTTTTAGGCAAATGACTTTACAAAGTTGTTGTGTTTTTTAAATTCTTGGAATTAAATACCTGGAAGCAATTGCAAGCCACCTATACGTATTTTTACTCTACAAATTCCTTTCACATGTTTGTTCATACCTTGACACAGTGCTTTAGCATAATATCACTGACTATCTTGCGAAGGTTAGAATATTGATAATAAAATAACTGGGTCATGCCTTAAAGATTGAAAGAGAGCCAAATTATCAAAGGGCAAGTAACAACACCTGAAATCATCCAATTCCAGGGAGAGGTGGTTCAGGACAATTAAGGATGCCCTGTTTCCAGCCTAATTCAATCATTGCTGTTCCTCCTAGAGACACCACTGCAGTACAGCATTTTGTGGAGTTTAGCACAGTACAAAGCGTGGCAGGTGTACCCGCGCAGTGAAAACGGGGCTTCCTGGCTGTTCAACGTTTTCTGTCCCCTGTTCTCAGGGCTTTGCAGTAATTGGGGCCCTTGGCCAACAGGGGCTGATATTGACCACAGGTCAGCTTTGGCTCAGGTATAAATGGAGTCCCCTGGGGGAGCCTTTTTGAGCTAGTTCCTTCTGGAGCAGTGTGTTGCTGGTAAGGACTCTCCCCTTGGGTTGGGGCACTGCCCAGAGAAACTCCTTGAAGTTCCTATGAGTTGTGATACTGCTCTAAGAAGTTCCTCGGATTTGAGAGCTCTTGTTTTTTTTATTTTTTTTTTCAGGTGAGTGACTGTTTTGGGTTGTAGTTAAATCCTAGGAATTTGTGTGGTGATAGTTTTTCTCTCCTCTCATGGACATTTGAACCTGCTGTTTGTATGTTTGTGGAGTGCCAGTTGATTGTGTTGAAAATAAATTTTATTTTGGTGGTTGTTTATTTGAGAGCTTCTGCAACACAATTGTAACATGAGACCTCACAATTCAATGGACTCTCTATTGTTGCTGTTAAAATTTATCACGTTCCCATACTCATTCCTAATGAGTCAAAGTTCTGCCTAAAGTATCTAATGCCTGGAGGTGGGTAACAAGTCTGTGTTGCAGGGAGTTTAACAGCTGATCTTACTGCTTTATGGGTCAGAGAGAGGAGAGGAAGATGAGCAAAACAAGACCTGTGTTTTTCAGAGAGTAGCTATGTGCTTACCTGAACCAGTTCAAATCACAAGCACATTTTAAGAGGCTTATGTGATGATCAGTGGCCACCCTCTGCTGCCATCTACTCCATCACTTGGAAGCTCTTAGCAGTGTTTTGGTGCAGTGACTCTATGAGAAGGTGAAGAGGGGACAGTTAACAAAAAAATGGGCAGGGTGTGGGAATCGGTTTATCATGTTTTTGGAGAGGATGGGCTGGAGTATGTGTTTCAGAAGTGTAGACATCTCCATGAAGAGCTGGGAGAAGGTTTCTTGCAGCAGGGCCTGAGTAGGCTTGGACAAAAGGTGGAACATAGTCAGTGCACGCTCATGGGTGAAGCCCATGCCATGGCAGGCACAGTTCTTCCTTGTGTAACCTCCTTGATTGTTTTCTTGGGTAGCAGCTGGGCTGGACACGGGCAAGCTGCTCGTGCTTTTGTAAAGGATCATTTTCAATGTAGATGCAGAGCCCGAAACCTTTTGGCAATGGGAAAGCTTGTAGAAACTATGTATTATTATTTCCTTCATACTGACATACCAAACACTGATTTCCTGATGTTAAGCAGTGTTACAACTGTTGCAGACTGCATCTTAAAGGAATCCTAATTATTGAAGAAGCTAATCAGATAGGTTTGCCTTTGCCAGCATATGTACTGGAAAGAAAAAGCTGGCTTTCCTTGCAATGCCAAAATGGCCGTAAGACTTTCTGAAATACTCATAAGGAGACTATCTGTGGGGAAAGTGGCTCTGTCTCTGAAACGCTGCTGTTGTATTTTGGGGGGTGAGGGGAGAAATAAAAATTCAAGCTGTTGAAGCTACATAGCTAAATAAAAAAAATGAATAAAAATGATGCAAGAGCTAGGCATGAAATAGAGCGAGGCACTTTCACAGCATTCGCTCTCAAGCTGCTGTTGCAACCCCTCATTTGACCTGCTTCTGCTGCTAGTGGCAAATAAAGCTCTCATGAGATTAAGATGGTATCTTGACTGTCTGCTTATGTAAAGTTGTGTTTGTCCTCCTCCTGTGAGATTCTGCTGACTGTAATGTATGTCCCTGTCAGAGCTTCTTTTCATCATAGCCCATATATGCCTTTTTTTCTCCAATTTGAACACCCAGTTCTTAAGCTGGGAAAAATACTATATTCAAGCCTGATAAACTTAAAAAAAAAAAAAAAAAAAAAAATCAGTGCCCCTGGAGTCCTGCTGTCCTTCCTTGGTGGTAAAAATTGGAAATGTCTTCTACTTAGATGTGAGTCCTATTTCCTAAAGGTCTTAGCTTACAAAAAATATTTCAAGTAAAGGTTAATTCAATTGACATAGCTCCTTCAGGCTGGTACTTCAACAGAGTGCCTGAGATCAGTTCTGTAACCACCTAACTGAATTAATGATATTGAATGCATTTTTACAGAATTCTGATCCCAAACATGGGAGGGTAGGGAGGCAATGCTGCTGCATGAGTTTACTGAAGTTAGAGCCATGGATGTCCCATGCTGGCAGGGCCTGGCTGAGTGCTGAACCTGGGGGGGGACACAGGGAGGAGGGGATTGCACTTGAGAAACTGAGCATGGAAATAAGGAGGTGGGGAGGACCTCCAGGTCCTCTACGTTTGCACCCTGGACTTCGCTGTTCTGCAGGGAGCAGGAATATGAGACTAATAGTCATGCTATTTCTGTTGCAGCAGGGCAAGAAGTTGCTGTCGCAGACCATCTCCTCCCCACAGCTTGGGCCATTCATCACCACATTCTTGATTGAGCTGTGGAAACCCAGGCTTGGGGTTTTTTTGTTTTGGTTTTTGTTTTTGTTTTTTTTTTTGGGGGGGGGGGAGGGGGGTTTGGCTCTTTATTTCATGCGTTCGTTGCAA